ACAATTCTTGTCTTCAGAACTTTTTTTTAGATTGCCTATATTAATGTTTAGCCCGGCTATTACCTCACTATACTTGGCTTAAACTTATAAACAAGGACTCATGTCGTTTAAATTGATCTATAAAACAGACATACTCAAATTCAATTCATCATCTACACAAAGTCTCCCTCCCTCAGTTCATTTCAAAACAAAATTTTCACGTCTTTAAAAAACGGATATGAAAATAATTCAAAATACCTCAAAATTCGATATGAATATTTATCTAACCCGACATGAATTTGTCGCCTATGTATTTCAAAAAGATCCTATTCAAACATCTTCATTTGTTTATGTTTTAAATGTAAATAAAAATCCTAAATCCACACACACACACAAAATATTTAGAAAAAATTTCATTATCACCTCAAGTGATGCATTTATTTGGATATTACATTTGTGTTTTCCTTGTGTACACATGTTCTAATGTCAAATGACCTACCCCAAGCGGAAAAACTATTCGAAAGAAACTGAATGCTACAATGTTGAAATATTTTTGTGATAACAAAATAGTGAAAGACCAACTGAGATTTTATCGGCTACGTTTGGGGTTGAAAATTTCAAAAATCAAAATGGGTTAACAAAATTTTGGATACGAGTAGTTTGGAATTTAAAATCATAACAAAAAAACAACAGACTGTACTTTTTACATTGGAATAAGAAATGTTTTACATTTTGTAAAAAATTTAAAAAACTATGATCTCTCTTTTTAAGAACTTGCTTTGAATATTAGAATGTTGGAGTAATGCTAACTGTACCCCACTGTAAAAATTCAAAAAGGGTTCTGTATTGGTTGTACTATGGTGCGTGTATTTATGTAAACAATGATCTAGAAGAAGTTTGAAAATACAAGATTCAAATGAATATAATTTGCTATTGGTTGGCTTAGATCAAGAACCCGAACCCAAAAAGTTGTAAAATTTTTCAAAATTAAAAGGGTAAAATCGAAAACAATTTCAATTGATTGAAACAATATTGAAATGACATTGGTTCTTGGGTATTATTTACTAAAATAAATCCGCTGTATAAAAATATTCAAATTCCCTTATGTAAATAAAAATATTAAAAATATTATATTATTATTATTTGCAAATTATATTAAAAACAATATAAAAGAATAACCCTATTCCCTAGATAATTTCCTGCTGTTATAATTCCTCAAGCCACCACTGTACGAACTAGAAATTAAAAAAAAAGCAAGGAATGGTTTTGCATTGTACGTGTGTGTATGAAGTCCCCCTGTATAAAACGAACAACATGTATGTTTAGATGTGTGTGCATTGCCTTTTTTAAAAAATGGCGGTCGTTGGCTCTTTTTCGTTTCATATGTATGGGTAAAGATAAACAGCTTCTATAAAAAAACGAATTTATGCTTTTTTCAACATATTTTCCTTCACAACAAATTAAAAAAACAATTAAATTAAAAACTTCACCTCAACAAAAATTATCTACAACACAAAAAATTTCAACGCATTGCAAAATACAAAAGACGCCAAACGAAATAACGCCGCCAACACCAACAAACATAAAACGAAGATACATAATTTTCAATTTTGCGCGATGCTGTAGATATCTTTCTTTTCCTTCCATTTATTTCGATTGCATTTTAAATAGTTTGATAGTAATAGAACACAAACCTTTTTCTTTTTTTCAAAATTATATTCACTTAATTATTTTGTTTATTTTAATTTGTCGATAAATTAAATACAACGGACAAAAACAATTTCAATTTATTACTTTTAATTTAATTTGTGAGAGAGAATGCACACAACACAACACCGACAAACAGAGCAAGCACAACAAATAAAAAAACACAAGTATGTTATGTTATTCACCAGAGAATTGATAACATTTCATGTGAAGCCGAAAATGACATGGGCGTTTTTACATTATATACATGGTTGTAATTGGGGAGGTGATGAACGTGCCAGTCCTTTTCAAACTGTGTAATAATAAATCATGGAATTTATTTTTTAAGTTAATTAAATAAAGCTTAAATATGAATTGTAAACTATCAATATTTGTTGTTTTTTTAGTAATGGAGACAAATTACCGATATTTACTTGCTGGTCACTGACGATTTTGTTATGGTTGTAAGAAATATTCGTCATTAGTTGAGAGATATCCGTCATGACTTAAGGTCTTTTAGATTTACGAAATCCACTCGTTCTCAAATGTCAATTCCATTGCTTATGGTGTTTTTACAGATATGTATTTTACATATGTGCTGTCACTTATTTCATCCATATGTAATTCCTTATGTTGTCAAAATTAGCAGTCTGCACAAAACTTTTATTTGTTGTGTTGAAATCGGCATATGTATTTTACATATGACATAACCTATAAACAAAAAAACACTTTTATTTTTTCTTAGATTAACATAATTTTTTTTATTAAACACCTACAAAAGAAATAATAATTTGTAATTGTTGACTTTTCATCCTTTTCTGATGATTTCCTTGTGTTTTACATACGAAAATAGAGCGCGTCCTATTCGGAAAAAATACATATGTAATTGCATATTGTTTTGACACATTGAAATTTCCGTATGTTTCACATGACGAGTTCTATTTCCATATGTAAATAAAGTGACAGCACATATGTAAAATACATATCGTGTAAAAGCACCATTATACCGTGGTACAATTATTAAAAGGTAGGGCACAGCTACCGACTGATTACATTTTTTTCTCAAGGTGTCTTGTTCAATCAAATCAAAATACATATTTTGTGTATGTGTGTGTATTGTTTTGAATACAATGTCAAATAAATTGAAAAAAAAAATAAATTTAATTATATACAAGTTTAATTGAAATGAAAATAAAGTTTTTAACACGTTCGTCTGGAAATAATTACTTTGTTATGTATGAAACAAACATTGTATGGTATTCCCTACTGGATTTTGGGAAGAAATAACCTTTCATTCATTTTTCGCATTTTTTAGTTATGTGTGAAAAAATGTCAAATAAACACAACCACTTATTGCGTATATTTATTTTTATATTTGGCAGAAGGAGCCACACGTGCATAATTGCTTTTTTGTTATTATCCCCAAGCTGCCCTACTTTGTATTATTGTACCATGCATTATACGTTAAACAGAATTAACGTGACGTATACGCAATGGAATTGACTTTTGAGATCGAGTGGATTTAGTAGTCTAAACGGAGTCTTATACATCAAAGTCCTATGATAAATCGAGATAATTTCAAATACAGTCCTGCTTTTGCACCATAAAAATAATCCCTTTTCCTAAAGGAATGTTTAAAAATTTATAAAAATGTTGCGGAACAAAAATATGACCGTTGCTGTAAAATTGATTTTTATACCTTTCACCACACTGTGGTACAGGGTATTATGTCTTTGTGCATATGTTTAGCTCCCATATATAATTGGTCTGATTCAATAGTTTTTTAATAGTAAAGCTTGTAAAAAGGAAACATTTTGAAATCGCTCTCAGATTACAAAATAATTTAAAAGTTCGGGAACGCAAATCTAGTAAATGTGTCAAAATTAGATGGCAATACTTCAAAATCAACAAAACAGCCAATCAGAAGTTGACATTCCTGTTTACCATTTTTACTCGACCAAATTTCTCGAGTAAAAAGTTTACAAAAGAGAACTCCGTTTTGTTTTATGTTCTCTTGGTCCAATGTTTTACCAGTTTTGTGGGTTCAACGGCGGTTTTCGAGTAAAAAGTTGCAAAATTTGTGAAATTTTTTAGGTTCTGGGACGTTTCTAATATTTTGTTATTATATAACTCACGATGCAACAATAAGGTGATGCATCAAAACGAAAACCTTTGTTTTTGTCTCGACCATCTGTCAAAATTTTCCTTATAATATTTCACATTGTTGGCAACATTGCACATCGAATTGAAGTTGAAATTACGCACTTTGACAGTTAATCAAGACATCAGCTGCTCAAAATGGACCACCTATTCATTGTGCCATGATATATATCTTTGCTCGTCTATAGTTAGCTTAAAATATTTGGTATATGTGCAAAAACTGTACATTAGAACCCTATGCTTGCCATCGACTTAAACATCCCTACTTCTCATCACTGACACACACCATAGCACAGAGGAGGGGATTATAAAGAAATTATATTTTTTCTGTGAAATATATTTTTTTGATTTTTTCCAAAAGAATATTTCGATACCAAGGTAATATTTGTGAAATCCATGCAATTTAAAAGTGTAGTTCCATATTAAAACACAAATTTTCTTATTTTTCATTTTATTTTGGCTAATTTCGAACAAAAACATTGGCACCTGGCTTTTGCAAAAAACCTCACCTATGATACACCACGATACAAAAACAACGTTGTTGGCTGACGAATCTATTTTAACAACAACAACATCAATGTTGACGACACCAACAACAATAATAATATGCATGTAAATGTTATTTACCGGGTCTGTTGGTTGGTTGGCTGGCTCACTGGTTGGTCTTTACATCCATCCACCTCCTATATGGTGTTGCTGCTGCTGCGCTGCCCTGTTTACGATTATTGGTGTTTTTTTTGGATTGGTGGTGTGTGTTCATTAATAAAAAACCGGGTTACTTTAATAACAACTGACTCCACTGTCATCATCATCGTCATTATTGTTGCTCCGTATGCAACGTTTGGGCGTATTGTCTGCTTTTGCTTGTCTCATGGTTTAAACAACACATGAATAATATTTATTTGTTTGTCCGTTGTCGTCGTCGTCGCAATCGTCATCGTCGGTGTCCGTTTAACAGTCATTTAAAAACCCACGCATTAATTCATTATATTACTACTTCTAATTTTCTATTATTATTAATTTTGTCTGTGTGTCACACGTAAAACATCGTAGACGGGAGAGGTACGTCTCCGATATTACCAGTGATTGATTTTATTTTGCCTGAGACTTAATAGTATCTAGTAAAAAAGTTCCGCCCTCATCGCATCCACCAGCAAGCAACCATCGTCATCACCATGGCCAATGTCTTGGAAAATCAATTAGCCGCCGTTGCTTCAGTAATAGAAAAGCAATTGGACGATCAATTAGATCGTTTGGAAAATTTAGACACTGACGATTTGAAGGCTATTCGTGAGCAACGTATCAAAGAAATGCGTGAATTAAATCAAAAGAAACAGGAATGGCTGAAAAATGTAAGTAGAGTACCGTTTGTTTGTTGTTATTTATTTTTGAAAATATCCTGAAAAGGATATTTAAAAGTGATTCAGAGTCATGTATTAATGTAGTCATGACTCATCTTGGTCTTTTGTTCTTGTTGTTGTAAGGTTTATTTAGAACAGATGACAATTTTTGGTAATATTTATTTCTTGGTATTAAAAATTCCATCCCTCCGATTATCATTAGTTGGTGCATCCCCTAAAATTTTAGAAGAATAAATTTACAAGGGTTGCCATTTATATTTTGGGGTATAAAATAGAAAATGGAAATAAATTTCTAACATGTTTTCTCAAGTTTCCAAAGTGACTTGAGCCGAAAAATAAAGATAAACTATTGAAATCGTTCCATACGAGTTCGAATTATATATGTATATAAATATTATGTTAGTTCATTACAGGTATGGTCCGCCTGGTACTAAGGGATTTCAAAACCCACCATGGCTTGTGGCATTCCGTCCTAGGTAATGATCAGGGGTTCAATATTTTACCCTCCAAGATAAGGTCAGACTGCCACTGGATATGTCCATCGTTTCTCCGGGTTTTACGAATGACGTGACTTGGCAATCCAATTCAATTTATTTCATAAACAAGAACCTAGCCCAAAGGGCCATGAGCGATTCCAAAAGCTTAAAATTAACAATATATCACTTAATTATATCATAACCAACAATACATGAACTACTCCAAAAAATCCGTCAATTCATTGGGGTCAGATCGCTCCCCTATTATATCCATCAATAGATCACACGACTTCATTACTTCTGAACGCCGCACATTCCTTAACCTCACTCTCGAATCCTTGAAGAAAAAATGACAGAACGACTGCTACATTTAACGACGTAACTGTGACAGACCCGAAGTTCATTGAACACCCCGAGAATGACTGGGCAATAATGAGTGTACATGCGACTTAGTACACTGTACTCCGAGCCGAGGATATTCCACACTATTTTACGAAGATGTTGCAGATGTCAACAAGAACGATAAGTCAACCAAAGCATTGGGCTCGGAAGGAATATCCATGGTAATGCTTAAATATCCATAGAAATGTCAGAACCCGTCAATTCATAACCAAAACCATTTTGGGTATATTGTACAGATGTATCCTTACAATTGCATGTCAATGTTCCCTCGAAGGAACATACTCATGCCTTTCTGCATCCTATGATAAATTTAATTTAATTCGAGCAGATTTAGAGTCGCCTGCTTACCATGGGACGAATTTATGGAAAACGATTTATAGCAAAATTGATACACATCCTATTCGGTACGCCGTACTGTTAAAAATTTAATCTCAATTAGACACCCATTCGAAATACATATGGAAGCTACGGATGCACCCGCACCAATTCCAACAAAACGCAATAACGTCATTCTAGTCTCGATGAAATCTAGTCTGATGAAAATCTGTCTCTGTCTGACAGGATTTTAGTTCTGGGAGGGGACGACCTACACGGGACTCTATGCGCTATCCGCGATAGTCTAGAGGACCAACGTAAGGAACTCTTCGACCAGTTAGACAGACTAGTAATGGAAGAGCAATGTGGGGATACGGCCTCCCTCCCGGATCCTACTACTCGCACAAAAGTGGTAGAATCGGTGAAGCCCACTGTCTCTGACAAAGGTGCTAAGCCGACTTCTGACCTGAAGCCCAGCTCGAGGCCGGACCCGAGTAAGAATGCACAGGAAAAGGCGATTGAGAACATCCCGAAGCAGAATGTCACCCATAAGGGTGAACGTGTGGAGGGCTCTGTCTCAAAGCCCGATTCTGCGCCTAACGACAAAGGTGAAGCTAAAACTCTGGATGGATCCACTAGTGGTCAGAATTGGAAGAAGGGAAAGTCCGGCAAGAAACCATCGTCTCCTGGGGGAGTAAATGTCCCCCCACAGAAGAAATCTGTGAAGCGCATCCGCTCTTCAGAAGGTCCGCAACCCTCACCCAAGAAGATGATGACTTCTCGTCTGGCAGATCCTTCTACCTCATATGCGGCTGTCGCTGGACAACAAACGGCGGAGATACAGCTATGTACAAAGAAGGCATTAACCTCCTCTGGAAAGCCGAACTCAAAAGTTCGTAGCCAAAGACAGCGTAAGCCATATGACAGACCAACCAAGGTAGCCGCTAAAGAAGACCTTCTTGTGGCAATCATTGACAAATCTGATCCTCATGGCAGGATCAGTGATATTCATTGGTTGCTCTTTCAAGCTATATATAAATCTGAACCGATTTTCACGAAACTTTACACACATCACTCTAGACTTAGATTAGTACGCTATTGCAAATTCCGTGCAAATCGAAAGATATATAGGTACTTAGGGGCACCATTTACATAAAATGGGACGAAAATATATATAGGAGCTAAATCGAAATCTGAATCGATTCTCCTGAAGCTTATCACTTATTATTCTAGACTCAATTCAGTACTCTATACCAAATTTCCTGTAAATCGAAGGATATTAAGGGACTTTGGTGCACCATTTACGTTAAATCGGACGAAAATATATATGGGAGCTATATCTGAATCTAGCCCCCACTTATATGTGGAGCTATCGCTCATAGCTTTAAATATCATAGTTGTATTTCTTGTTTTATCATTCCTATTACGAAAATGTTTTCATTTGTTTTTTTTATTTCCAGGGTCATGGTGTCTATACAGAACTCGCCGACGAAAAGGAATTCTTTGAAGTGTCAAAAAAATCACCCAATATTGTGTGTCATTTCTATCGCGACTCAACGGAACGTTGTCGCATTGTCGATATGCACTTAAAGATCTTGGCAGGCAAACATGTCGAAGCGAAATTCTGCAAAGTGAATGCTGAAAAATCACCGTTCCTTACACAACGTCTGCGTATCAAAGTTATCCCAACAATTGCCCTGATAAAGGATAGCAAAACAAAAGATTTCATTGTGGGCTTTACCGATTTGGGTAATTGTGATGATTTCTCCACTGATATGCTCGAATGGAGAATAGCCCAATCGGGTGCAATTGATTACAAGGGCGATTTGATGACACCACCCGATGTCAAAAAGAAATCCTATATCAACCGCCCCAAGAAAACTATACGTGGTGGTTATGATTCAGATGATTCGGATATTGATTTTGATGATTAACCACCACATTGGCGGCTACGACGACGACAGTGTAGTGCAAATTGAGTTTAATGTTGTGTTTTGTAAACAAAAAAAAGGAAAAGAAAAAATATTTGAAATATTTAGTATATGCGTCTGCCTTATTTGCAGTTTCACAAGTGTCTTTAATTTGAGCTTGAGTTTACAATTACGAGTTGAGTTGATTGGTCTCTCGATAATCATTTTTAGAAAATGATTAGATTGTCAAGCGCCAACTAGTTTACTTTATACAGCTTAATATCAAAATGTATTAATCTAAAAAATCATTTGTTTGCAAATTCAAATAACAAATTTTGTAAACTATAATCTTAGTACGCAAACAAACAAAACTGAAAACAAAAAAAATCTCACAATGCAACATTCTACTTTTAAATTTTGTTCAAAGTATTCTACTTTTGTTGTCCTAGTTTAAACCTTTTTTTAAACTATTTTTTGTAATAACATTCTCTCTATTGTGTGTTCATTTCTAGACTTTTTTTACTGGAAAAATATTATTCTCCCCATAGGAGGAGATCGGCACAAAATTTCATACAAAATTGATCTATGTTTTTAGTAGTCTAAAAATCCCAAAAACAAAATCAAACATAAACAACAAAAAAGACAATTTATAATTGTAGATTTTTTTAGTATTTTAAAATATGCAATGCATACATCATAAGCCAACAAAAAAACCACAACAACACTCATTCACAAAGAGCGAATAATATTTTTGAATAGTTATATAAAATAATAATAAAAACAAATAATAATTCCTATTTTTATAGTGGTAATACTACAAAGTTTTGACATTCACAAATTAACTTTTAAAATTTGTAATCTACAACAACAAACGAAAAAGTAATCAAACTACAACAACAATGCAGCATAGTCTTTGTATGTCTGGTTATATATATTTTTTCTCTTCACACATTATAGTAATAACATAATTTATTTTTTATAATTTTAAATTGTAATCGTATTTTTTTAAATTAAAAAAAAAAATAATAATAATAAAAATGCATGGACAATTTTTTATGTTTAAAATAGAATATTTTATATTTTATTGCGGATAGTGGGAGGCCCAATACTATTCATTGGATAGCTGTGAATAACAAGTAAACAGTCGCGGACAATCAGCGGGCTCAGGGGGTGAGTCTCGGAGGAAATGAGTCTCTGCTGCTCCACAGGAGGTACCGGATGATCTGCGAGTAGCAATCATGGACCGAGCTGAACCTGACGGGAAATAAGAAGTTGTAGGCCCAAGAAAGGGTGATGCCACATATATTTGCGATAAGGACAGGAGCAGGAAAAAGGGTTTCAAGTAGCTAGCCGGCAGAACTTGGGGAGCTACCAAAGAAATCTTGTTAATTACATACACTGCAATATACTGGTCTGTGTTTAACTATTCGGCTCCAGTTTGGTCCGCCAACGTTTAATGCAATACAATGGAAAAATCTTCATCTAACGGGATGGAATTCACACGGATGCAGTTTTGGAAGCAATTCAAGAATATAGAGTAAATGCAATATTAGAAGAACCCTCGCCTACGATAGCAACAGAAAATCAGAAGCTACCGCAACAAATCAAAGATATCATAGAGCTTAATTCTTATTGGGCGCGAATTGGCGGCTGGATGGCCAATATCTGCCCTGCATGTGGTCCACATGACACGCTACACTTCTTCAACTGTTCAACCAAGTCCACTCCTCTAACTCCAAATTCACTTTGGACACAACCGGTACATGTCACCCGTTTTTTTTACATGGAGTTAAAAGCAGAACTAGACTAAAGATAATATACGCCAAAGACCAGATAAGAATTAGGTGATATTTAAATTGTTGATTCTGATTCCAAGTATTTCCTAAATCTGCTCAATTAGGGTTGATAAGACCCCTGATCGTTAAAGTGCGGAATGAATTGATTCCATGTTTAAGGTTTTTTGCAATATCCACGGTGAAGATCGTATAATCCATATTCCTTTCGATGTGTCCGAACACCGCAAGTAGGACAGTATCCACTGATCTGTTTTTGAAAGAAACGCTGATTTGCAGATACTGTTTACATCAAGTGATTTTCTTATTTCGAGGTCCAGTAGTTTTCTTTAAGGATTTTTAGTAGAAGATAGTCAGTCGATAGTCTTCTCGTAAGGTCTTCGACGTTACCATAGGTAGCTCTTTTGATATTGATTACAACAACATGTATTTTATAATTCCCAATCCATAGTAGTAGAATGTCCTAAATCCCCAACCGAATACGGATTATTTTAAAGAAATCTTGTAACCGGAATCGGAGGGACTTTTGGATTAAAGGTTACATTTGCTGTCTTAAGTCTATTTTAGGGCTCCCTTGAGGATCGTTCTGAAATTTTTACCACATGTAGTCCTTGGGGTCCTGATTACAATGGTATATATTTTCTTCCGGTATTTCCGGAGATATGAGCTACCTCCAAAGGTCCGTTGGCACACTTATATTACCTCACGATTTTTAAAATTTACTGAGGCAATATTGTTTTCAATTTAAATCGTTTCAAGTCCTGTTTTCAGAAACACTATTCAATTTAAAAGATGAGATCGCGTAGCCGCCACATATCCATAGGAGATAGTCTTAAATCCCAGCTACCCCCAAACACCTTTCTAATTAAAATGAGATTCGGTCACGTAACTGTAGTAACCATCTGTCCATAGGAGAAAGTATTAAATCACCGGCCGAATGCCGGTAAAATTAAAGAAGGGTCCCGCGGAATTTTGGAGACCCATATCACAGAATGTGTGAACTTATTTCATAAGAATTTTTTGTAATCAGGGCTTAAAACACTTTAAATTTATACCCGCATTGCCTTAGTAAATTTTAAAAATCACGGAAAATACCGATTTCCGCAGGAAAAAAAATTATACCATTGTAATCAGAGCCCCAAGGACTACATGTGGTAAAAGTTTCAAAAGCGATCCGCGAGGGTGCCCATTTGCCTCGTATGCGTATGATTTCTTTGACAGAAGAAGCCACTACCTACATATTTCATTTTTTGTTGTCCAACCGTATAATATTGTACCATAATAACAACTCGTACTACATGACATGTGAGTCGCAAAAAATTACATGATGTGATCCTGGTTTAGCAACATCATAATCCGTGATATCAATTTACAGTGGATAGAGTGAACGATATCAATTTAGTTCCATTGTTCATTGCAGTGAATCAGTCAATTGAACTGATTTCTTTGTGAACAACAACAACATACTATCTAAGACCAGGGCTGCCATATTTGCCGATTTATCGGCATTTTGACGATTTTTCACTCTAAAAATGGAAAATGCCGATTTTCCGATTTTTGCCCCAGAATTGCCGATATTTCAACAATCGACACAAATTGTCTAACTTTTTAATTTAATACGGCGTTACCATACAAACATATAAAATTGGCAGCTTTAAATCATTATAACTATCGGCGACACGCCGCAGCCGTTTTCAATGGCTTAGATATCTGCATTTTTGTCAGCATTGTACTCTGTCTAGTTTACATTTTACATCATGGGCACGAACAATTTTTTAGAATATGATGAAGTATATTTGGGTTTATATGCAAAAGATATTGTTTCAGAAACAAAACTTTCCAAAAATGACATAGACAAAATAGTTAGCACTTGCATTAATTTTCATTTAGAAATTGAAAACCAAATATTAAAACGTTTTGATTTTAATTTAAATTCATTTAAATGCTTAAAACTTATTGATCCTGCAAGAGTAATGAAGAAGGGCAATAATTTTTTTCTAGATATTTTAAAAGAATTCCCCGATTTTATTTTGAAAATGAGAGGCAATCTTTAGACTCCGAGTTTAGGGAGTTAAACTTTCTGAATTTTGAAGAAATTTTTGAAAATGCAGATATAATTTAAAAAGTTTTTGGAAAAACAATTCCGAAATTAAATGTGGGGACTCCAATTTAGCTTTTCCAATTTTGTCTAAATTTGTACAAAGAATTATGGTTCTTCCACACTCCACAGCAAATGTGGAACGAATTTTTAGCCAGGTAAACCCTAACAAAACTAAAATTAGAAGCTCACTTGAGAATGATTCATTGGAAGGGATTCTTTACCTCAAACTAAATAATTCAAATTGTTTTAATATCAAAATTGATAAAGAATTACTAAAAATGTGTAATAAAAATATGTACTAGTTTGTAAGGTCATAAAAATATGACCTTAATACCACACTGTGTTATACGTAAATCTGAAAGATCTCACTAGTGTACATAATAATTACTATATTTTAGAAAAATCTACATTTTTTGTAGAAAAATGAATCTTTTATGTTATTTTTTTATACAGAATTATTAATGTAATAAACAATATTGATTTGTTATAAACCAAAAATATGAATTTATTTATAAATTATATGCTGCCGATTTTTTGCCGATTTTTAAAAACACAAATGCCGATTATGCCGATTTTTTTCTGAAAAATTGACGATTTTTCATGAAATTTAACTGGCAGCACTGTCTAAGACCCCCATGTTACAGCAGTTAATACCCTTATTGTTGTTCTAATATTTATTTGTTTATGTTTTTTTTTTTTTGCAATAAAAATCTATCAACTTCCCCACAATACAAATCTAATTGGAATTTTTTCATCACCAAATTGGGCAAGATGGCCCAAGAAATCATATGCCACTAACATTGCTTACTTATTCTTAATATGGTCAACCAAATGGATTTCTAATGGAACATGAGTGTTTGGAGAATGAAAAATGCCGGTGCTACTCAGTCAGAATACGAACAAGTATTTTTGCAAGTACATGTGTTACTTTTTTGTTGGCGTCGTTGTTTATGTTAGTCAAACAACCCACCCCCTTCTATGTGAGGTTGTTTTATCATGAGAATCCAACCAAACCATAGAGAGAGAGCATGAGTTACGACCGATTAACTGGAGACGTTTCGACCCCGTTGCTGATGAGCTCATACACACCAACAACACCAGCAACATAGCTGGCTGGCAAAACACAACACAAATGAACTTGTTTTGCTGTGTTTTGTTTTCACTACGTAGCTATCACCATGATGTACTATTTCTCCATGCTCCATGCGCACGCAAGCCAAAACAAGTTTGGAGCAAATTCTGCTGTGTGTTTGCTCGCTGGCTTTCTGTTGGAGGAAAGCAAATTTATGAATATTTTTTTTAGTTTCAATCAGCCAGTCGGACGTTGGATACGTGTTACGCGCTAATAGTCGTTTTTCTATTATTTTTTTTATATTTGCTTACCACCCATAGGCGGCGGTTAGACCAAAAAAACAGCACAGCGACACACAAATCGGTAACAGCTAAAGAAACCCCAAATAAAAGTTGAATTCTCTAGAGTGGTGGTTGTAAAACAAAAAAAGAAACAGAAACCACTTTTTTGATGACGAAGTCTAAAAACGCCACAGCTTTACCAGTGCTCTCCGTGACACACAGCCGTGACAACGAGTGATTTTTCTGAATGTTTTTCCTCTAGTATTTCGTGTATTGTGTGCACTTTTTGCCTGTTTTGTAGTTTTTTTTTCACAAATTGAAAAGAATTTTAATTAGAACAAAAAAATTAGAATCGTAATCAAAAAATACGGAAAGAAAAATACAAAACCCCAATGCTTGGCGACTATTGATCTCAAGCCATTGTTGACCACAAAAGTTTAAAGTTCAGCAAAGTAATCAACGGAAACGGAAAATTACAATAATCCGCTATTCACAACGAATGAAAAAAAATATTGTGTGTTACTCAAAAAAATCAATAAAAACGACAATTTTTGTGATTTTTATGAAAACGAAATTCGTGAATTTACAAATCTAATATTATTGCTACAGCAACAAAAACAACAACAATAATGGCTCAGAGCTCATCATCGAAAACGGGTTCACACAGTAACCTAATGGCCAGCGGAAGTAGTACTCCAATACGTATTGGCAGTTACCATGGTCATGTATCGTCGAGTGGTGGCAATGATTCGCCCACCCCCATGATGCATCATCATCAGCAGCAGCAACAACAATCACAACAACAACAGCAGTCGAGTAGTGTTCCAGCATCTGCTGGACATTTGGGTCAAAGTTCGGCTTCTTTAAATATGGGCCCATCCACCACAAATCAACATCATTCGCAGCAGCAGCAACAACAACAGCAGCAACAAACATCCTCTACAGCTGTTATGAGTTCCAGTGTTACCCCACCAAATAGTGCTGGTTTACGTCAATCGGGAGGTAAGTTGAATCGGAAAGCCTCTCAAATGTGCAGACAGACATACATTACAATCATGTATGTATGTTTGTATCTCTGTGCCTAAACAACTAGATTTGTGTATGTCCATATATATATATATAAATGTGTGTGCGAGCCTTGTGTAATGAACGTCTGAAATTTCATACTAGAGATGTTCCTCTGCTACTATATATATAATATTATATTCTTGTTTTTGTTTTTCTTCTTCTCCTTCGTATGTTTGGGTTTTCCTCATTTTCATTTTCTTCTTCTTCGTCAGTATTTAAGTTAACCATCGCTGTTTCTTTTACTTTTTGTTTTTGCAATCCATTTGAATGTTTTTTTTTTCAAGTGGTGTGGGGGCATTCCCCATGTCTTCCTTTATTTTTATTTCTCTTCTTTTTATAAATATCACAGTTGTTTCTATTTTTTTATTTTTGTTGTTATTTTATTTTTGGTTCGGTTGTTGTTTCGTCCCGGCCTAGGTAATGGCTAATTGTTTTTTCATGTCATGGTGGTTTAGTTGGCTAATTTTGCTTAACTCGGTTTTCTGATTTTTTGCTTTGCTCTTTGCCCTTTTGCTCTTCAGTCAATATCCGTTTCCCGTTTGGATGTAATATTGAAATGGATATTTCTGGCAATGATTCTTCATTTTGCATATGTATGTATTCGTAATACAGCTTAAATGGACAATATCCTAAATATTGTCTGCTGTTTAAATCTTCTCAGTACCAGAAAAAAATTTGCCATTAAAAGTCGATTCTATTTAATATGGATATATTAAAATTATAAGCAGTATATGGTTTTAATTGTCGGATTGCATTGACATTGAAGGAGCCTTCAACAATGTCAGCACTAATACGCTTATCCAATCCCTAGATACTTTCTAAGTTGACCGGGCAATCATAGACTGCAGCATACAGCACATAACAATCAGACAAAGTAGGCCAGGGAACACCACAGGGAGGGATTTTGTCACCGCTCCTGTGGGTAACTACCATAAATGGACTCTTAAGGAACTTAATCGATGAAGAATTTGATCCAGTCTGTTATGCAGATGATGTTATAATACTTCTTAGGGGAAAGAATCCTAACTTACAATGCAGGAAAGCCGAAACGGTGCTACACATCGCCTACGATTGGGTTAAACAGAGGGGCTTAAACGCATGAAGAAGAGCCCATCAAACAAAGCTATATGAAACAAAGTTAAGTATCTGGGAGTAATTCTAGACAAGAATCTTAAATGGAAAGACCACACCCAGCAAAGGGTTTACAAGGCCCATTGATGCTGGTCCTTCTGTAGAAGAGCCGTAGGCTCTAAATGAGGTTTCAATCCTAAGATGATACACTGGATCTATAAGAACGTTATTAGACCAATTCTAACATACGCTTCTGTGGTCTGGTGGACAGCAATGGATAAAAAATGTAAAGTAAAACCGTTGCAGAAAGTTCAGAGAACGTGGGGCCTAGCAATATGTGGTACAATGCGTACGAATCCAACTTGGGCTTTGGAGATAATATTATATATACATCCAATAGACATCCAAATAAAATATGAAGCGGCGGGTTGCAGCTTTAAGACTCTAATCAATGGACGAGTGGATAGACACCGGACACAACATACCGCAAAAAACATATTACAGGCAACAACTGAGTCAACAATCAATACCTTTGATTCAGACCGCATACCTGAAACGAGAGTAGTGACACGGTGCGAAACTATAATATCAGATAGAGAACAATGGAATAGTGGAACACTAGTTCAGATGCTACTGCACTACATAGCCACAATAGCGAAACACGCCAAGAAATGAGGGAATGGGCGAATGAGACCCACAAAACCCTTTGGGAAAATGAGAGGACAGGAAAGATCACCAAAATTTTATGGGGTGACCCCACTGAAGACAAAACTAAGCAAAACCTAACGCTAAACAAAAAAGAAATAAGCTGACTGATGGGTATTCTGACGGGACACCTCAGCCTGAAGGCACATCTACTCAAGATTGGATGCGAAGGTAGCAACATGTGCAGAGCATTTGGGGAAACGCTGGAACATTTACTGTGCCATTGCCCAGCATTTACATGCCTTCGGAAACCATTCTTGGGAAATGGCACTTTTCACGGACTAACCGATCTGAGGGATGTGAATGGAGAAGACTGAAGGAGTTCTCAAAAAACACGGAATTCCTATATTTATAGGGATACCAAACTCAAAATGTTTTAATCTAAACATTCACGAATCCTAACTTTCTCCGCATTTCTAGAGCGCACAACAGGCCTCAATTGGCTTATGTGTATGTCCTTCCCATGTTGGACATGTGTTGGTATTATCCACCCCTCTTTTTAACCTAACCCAACCTGTTCTTTTTTGGATTTTATCTCAAAGCAACATTTGTAGATAATGAGGTCAAACATTGCTGAAGAGTGAACATCAATATTTCCAGTAGTTCACGTACGTTTTATTAGAAAATCCAGCACCGCATTTAAACAAAAACTTTAGCTAAAAATTCAAAACCTAGCTAAGCTTTCAGATTTTAGCGGTACCGATTGGTTTAAGATGTTATTGCTGCACAGTGTAATTGAATAGAAAATTCCCATCTCGATATCGAATTCGCATGGATTACTCACAGAACAAAAACAATTAAATGCAAATTTAATAAATTTTAAAACGGTTCACAAATATGTACGCCTAATTACAAATATATTCCCCGTTTCTCTTCGCGTATACGTAAATATCGTTGTATCGGGAAAATCAATAAGGGATTATTATTGTTATTGAATTTTTATTTAACCATTGTTTTTTTCTAATGCCACCCAAAGGATGAATACGAACAATAATACTTGCCATGTCGCGCACCAACAAGCTTATGTTGATGATGACAGCATGACATTTTTAGCTGACTGGAATGAATGGATAATGATAAATGAGCAATGGAATGAATGAAAGAGAAGAACAACAACAAACACAAATAAATATTAATGCAATATTATTAGGAGTAGAATGGTCATACGATGAAAGCACCAAGTCAGAGTATGAGAAGAGTTTTATGACATCAACATAATCGAGAGTATTCCCGAATGAACGAAATTATGAGAAAAGAAAAAATTTCAATTATTTAATTATTAAATATTAAAAAATACACAATTAAATTAATAATGGCAGTAGTGTTTTCAAAGACGTAGTACAAAAAGACGTTTGTTTTGGCCAACTCCCGAACACAGAGGATCTGCCGCGAAGACGCTGCCTGTGAAGAGAGGTGGATATTGTCAGTTGGGACAATACTGAGGAGCTATGAAATAAGGTGGAATCTTAGTAATTAATTTTAATTTGGCCACATGAATTATAAAATTGGCTTTAATTACAAAGAAATCACATAAATAAATAAAATATTCGCCTGCTTGACGACTTCGAATTATTTCCCCTTTACAATTCTGGTTTTGCTTTTGAAGGTGAGACAACCCGGGTGCGCAAAAATTCGCTCGCGAATGAATTAAAATACATTCTTTTCGTTTTGTGCTCATTTTACGAATGAATTTATGGCGATAAATTCTTTATCGAACGAGCATTCGCCAAAGAACGTTCGCACACACATAACAAACACTTTCTGCTACACACATATTCATTCTTTCGTTGTTTGTGTGTGTTTTATGATATTTTTGTTTGTTGTTGTTAAAAACAACACTCGCGAATGAACAAATCGACGACGCTTGCAGCGAAATTTTATCGTTCGTGCATTTTTCGTACGATGCGAACATTCGCGAGAGATTGCAAATGCTTGTTCTTTCATTGTAACTTTATCATTCGCTATAAATTGAAAAGATTCGAATTCTCGTAGTGAGCATTGGCGAGAAAGAGCGTATTTTAATCATTCTTCGCACCCTGGAGACAACTGATGAGTTCTCCAAATTTGCTTTTTTTAATTAAAGAAGTAGTCGCATGCCTTCACTTGGATTATTTATGATTAATGGTCAGATGCCTCCTCATCATCCTGTGCACAAAAAAGTAGACAAAAAAGCACAAAAAGTAGACAAGTGCCAACTATAAAGGAATAAGTCACCTTCCCATCGCATATAAAGTGCTATCTAGAGTGCTGTGTGAACGTCTGAAGCCAATGGTCAATGACATTATTGCACAATACCAATGAGGCTTCAGGCCTGGCAAATCCACCATTGACAAGATTTTCATTCTGCGTCAAATCCTGAAAAAGACCCATATCGACGCATTTCACCTATTCTTCGACTATAAGGCCGCATTCGACATCCATATCCGTTCAGAGATGTTTAAAGCCATGTCTGCGTTTGGCACTCCTGCAAAATTAATACGGCTACGTAGGATATATTTAACTGACACAAGGTCAGCAGTTTAAGTCGGAAAGCAGCCCTTTAATACCGAATGAGGACTCCGACAAGGTGATAGTTTGTCGTGTGATCCGATGGAAAAATCAAGTGGAAGACAACATTTCGAAAAGTGGCTTTTCAAATTTGGAAATATTTACCCAGCTGTAATTGTTGTTGTTAAAGCAACAAAATACATAGTATAAATAGCCACGAATTGTCTGGTTATGGTTCCTCTATAACTCCTCATTGGAACATTGGAATCCGAAAATTCCAACGGTGTTAGAAACGGTACATGTTGGCTCTCGTATGAACTAGGATTATTGACCACGCTCCAAAATCAACAAAAAGGAAGAAAATCGCCTATTTTTTTACCAAAAATCGAGTAAAAAAATAAGGAAGATTTTGGCCAATAGCTATACACTCACAGAGAAAAGTCCCAAAATTTGGAATCGATCGGATTATTAGTTTTTGAGTTATCGTGCCCACCATTCACAATACCGCTGTTTGGAGAAAAATGCGTTTAAAGTTTGAGAAGCCCTTTTGCTTTTTGCCGGCTATATCTTCAAGAGTTGTGGAGATTTTCACTTGAAAATTTATGGGCACATTCTTGAATTTGTGTAGATTCGAATTAAATCAAAATACAAAATTAATTTTTTTGAAACCG